CCGGGACGAGGTATGGATGTAGCCGTCGCAGGGCGTCAGTCGACACCATGTTGACGGCACGGCGAAAAGATGGACGCAACACTGAAAGATGTCACACAACTCTGACTGACGACACGGTACTGACTGACGGCACGCCGAGCAGATGGACCCAATACTGAAAGGTGCCGCACAGCTCTGATCGGCGAGATGGTACGAACTGATGGGACACGGTGCGTACTGACGGGACACCGCACTGACAGGAAACCTCACAGATGGATCCATACTAATGAAAGATGCCACACAGTTCTGACTGGCGGCATGATACGAACTGGTGGGACAAGGTACGTACTGACGGGACACCGTACTGTCTGACGGAACACGGAGATGACTGACGGGACACGGTTATGACTGACGGGACACGGTAATGACTGACGGGATACAGCGATGCCTGACGGGTCACGGTAATGACTGACGGGCACGGTAATGACTGACGGGACACGGTAATGACTGACGGGATACGGTTATGCCTGACGGGACACGGTAATGACTGACGGGATACGGCGATGCCTGACGGGACACAGTAATGCCTGACAGGACACGGTAATGACTGACGGATACGGTGATGCCTGACGGGACACGGTATGACTCGGGACACGGCGATGCCTGACGGGACACGGTAATGACTGACGGATACGGTAATGACGGGACGGTGACGACCGACGGGACAAGTAATACTGACGGAACACGGTGATGCCTGACGGGACGCGGCAATGACTGACGGAACACGGTGATGCCTGACGGGACACGGTAATGACTGACGGGACACGGTGATGCCTGACGGGACACGGTAATGGCTGACGGACACGGTAATGACTGACGGGACACGGTGATGCTGACGGGTCACGGTAATGCCTGACGGGACACGGTAATGACTGACGGGATACGGCGATGCCTGACGGACACGGTAATGCTGACAGGACACGGTAATGACTGACGGGACACGGTAATGACTGACGGGATACGATGCCTGACGGGTCACGGTAATGCCTGACGGGACACGGTAATGACTGACGGACAAGACTGACGGGACACGGTAATGACTGACGGGATACGACGGTGATGCCTGGGGGACACGGTAATGACTGACGGGACACGGTAATGACTGACGGGATACGGCGATGCCTGACGGGACACGTATGCCTGACGGGAACGGTAATGACTGACGGGACACGGTAATGACTGACGGACACGGTAATGACTGACGGGATACGGCGATGCCTGACGGGACACGGTAATGCCTGACGGGACACGGTAATGACTGACGGGACACGGTAATGACTGACGGGATACAGCGATGCCTGACGGGTCACGGTAATGACTGACGGGACACGGTAATGACTGACGGGACACGGTAATGACTGACGGGATACGGTGATGCCTGACGGGACACGGTAATGACTGACGGGACACGGCGATGCCTGACGGGACACGGTAATGACTGACGGGATACGGTAATGACGGGGCACGGTGACACCGTGATGCCTGACGGGACACGGTGACGACTGACGGGAAAAGGTAATAACTGACGGAACACGGTGATGCCTGACGGGACGCGGCAATGACTGACGGAACACGGTGATGCCTGACGGGACACGGTAATGACTGACGGGACACGGTGATGCCTGACGGGACACGGTAATGGCTGACGGACACGGTAATGACTGACGGGACACGGTGATGCCTGACGGGATACGGTGATGCCTGACGGAACACTGCACTGGTTGACAGGACCTGACGCCGATTGATGGAACGAGGCACCAGCTCATAGGACAGGGTGCGCGCTGACGGGCCGCGGCGCCGACTCAAGCGATACTGGCGGCGACTGGCTGATACGGGCTGAGCCAGACAACAATCACAGGCCACAGCGACGGCACTAAGTGGCACAGTGCGAGACAAGCCTGCTGAGCGATTACCGATTTAGAGTAATTTACATAGCCATTTTGCGTGTGTAAAGTGATTCCTAACACGCATACGCTGTGTCGCATGCTGTGTTGTGCCACTCGATTACGCAACCAAACACCCATATAAAACTCCAGTGCCAATCATCCGCTGCACCTCCGACAGACATGAAACAAACACCACCAAGAGCCATCAGAGTTCAGCAAGAGGGGGAGGGGCGTCTTCACCACACGCAGCCCCTCTGCAGCCCGGATGGTGGGGGGCGTCTTCAGAACACGCAGCCCCTCTGCGGCCGGCGCCGGTCCCCGCCAACACGGCCGGCCACGGCGGCGCGACGGACCGCTGAGCCAACAGCACTGCCAGCGGCCGCCGCCAGCGCGCGCCGCAAACAACGGCAAACGCGCCCCGTGAAATTGTTTAGTGCCGCCGATTTAGACCGGGCCGGGCGCGGAGCGCGGCCGGCGCGCGTGCCCGGCGGAGGAGAGCGGCGGCGCGGTGGCCGGTGCGACAGGCCGGCCCCGGACACCCCCGGTGGCGGAGGAGCGCAGCGGCGCGGTGGCGGGCGCGGCGGCGGGCTCGGCGGCGGGCGCGGTGGCGGGCGCGGCGGCGGTTGCGGTGGCGGGCGCGTCGCTGCCCACTCCAGGCGAGGTTCTCTGCTCACGAAATATCACCTGTTCAACAGCTCACTTAAGCACGTGCGCTACGGAGTTAAGTTCTGACCTCAGTATCCGCTCTACGGGGGGGGGGGGAGGGGGAAGTGCGCCTAATCGTGCTTCCACTGTCGCGGCGTTTCATTGCAGCGCACGTTATTTGCGGATGGGCACTCGATAATTCTAGTGCGGCTGTCGGTCTCATGCTGAGTGGCAAACGCGTGCTCAAACAGCAACTCTCTTCAACGTACCATGATCAATTATCTAATGCCGTATTTAAGCTATGTGACACAAGCAGCCGCGCCCCAAAGCATTTTTTACGGGTCATTTCAAGATAGAATACCCCATAAAACGTGGACATGACATTACTTTTACGATGTTGGGCCCATATTTTCCATTCTGCGAAAAGGATTTTACATCTAACATCTTGTTTTTGAGGATATCAAAGCATAATTCTACAAGTGACGAACAGCAGTCTTGGATCTCGGCATGAGCGTCTTGCTCTTGTTGGCTTGCCACCAAAACAGAAACCATGTTTTTTTTACAAATTATTGGTCACCGTCCAAAACATAAATTGACATCAGTCTTCTGAGCTTTTGCCAATTTCCGCGAAGTCGTTAAAACCGGCTAAAAGCCCTTAAATACAGACAGTGCCAAAAAATAGCTTCAGCCAGCTGAAACGCTATCTCTGCAAATAACACATACGTCAACGACCCACTTAATCTGACGGATTCGCAACCGACCCATTTTCCTACGCGATACCGATGAAGACGCCAAGATTACCCGGCATTTACGGCAATTACCAGCGATGCCGCTTGACAAGTCCAGAGATCTGAAAACGCCAAGCAATTACACCAACAAATCACGATTGCGTCACGCCGTCACCGGCCGCGGAGCACGCTGCAACCTCAGAGCGAGCCGGCTGTGGCGCGAGCGCCGCCGCCTGCGGGGCCGCGCCGCCTGGCGGCCGGCGGTAATGAGACGCCAGCCGCCTAACGAATTGGCATCACCGCTCGCCGGCCAACACGGCGACACGCTATCAGACGTCCGTCGGAGAGACGCGCCGCGCCGCGCCGCGCCGCCGCCTGCGTCTGGCGCGGCAGCGGGGCGGCAGGGGGGGGGGGGGGGGGCGATGGCGGCTCACCGCTGCGGCGATTATAGCGGAGTCGGAGAGCGGCACCGCCGCAGCCCCAAACCCCCCTGCATAGGCTGGCTGGCGGCGAACAGTCGCCTCTGTGGTGGCGCACCTTTCGTGGGGGTCCGTGGGGGGGGGGGGGGTTCCCGGTCACCACAGGGGGGCGGGTGAAAGACGGTCACTGCTGATCAGGGTGTGATACGGGTCACTACGGTCACTCAGAGGACCAGGAGAGGGCCGGCCATGTACAATCAGGAGGTGTGATGCAGGTCACTGCAGAGGCCCCGAAGCGGGACGGACACGGGCAGTCAGCGGTGTGCCACATGTCACCGACCGTGCCTGGCACCTTGTCGGTCACGGGCGGCCAGCGACACGCCACAGGTTACGGCCGAGGACCCGGACATGGCCGGCCACGTGACATCGGGGGCGTGACAGGCAGCGGCAGGCATCGCGGCCGGGCAGTCCTAGGACGACCAACGTCAAAACAAAACAGTGGACTTTTAGACCGGTCATCGACGCATGCATGTAACTGGCTGTTTTGCATTGAGGTATTCAGTGTCGCCAGCGCCGACAGATTCCGCGGCCGGAGTGGAGGTCTCCTGCTGCGGGAATCCATTTCGAACTTATCGACCGTGAACCAGTCGCTTGCACCACTTGGTCACGTTGTGTCGGGCGCTGCTTGCCAGAGAGGCAGAGACGGGGCAGCGTGTCCAGAGCGGCCCCCCCCCCCCCTCCCCACGCCAGTCCGCGCAGACCAGGGGGCCTCCGAACGGGGCGCGCCGGCCTCACCGCACAGCGAGTACGGCGGCGCTCTATCACAACACACACTCGCCGCGGGAGAGGCGCGCCGACACGGGCGCTACACCTGCACAGGAGCGGCCGGCGTCGGCAGGCTGCGTCGAGCCCGCGACGACGTCCATCTGGCGGGCGTAAATAAACAGCCCTCGCTCGGCCAGGTGCCGGCGGCCCGGGCGATCACTCGGCGCCGGCCGTTGGCGGCGGCAGGCCCGGCACCATCGGCCGCCGCGTGACGAACAGGTGGGCGTGGGGTGGGGTAGGATGGGGGGCTCAGTACAGCCGTTCCCGGGACCGGCAGGAGTGTCGGCAGCCGCTGCTGTCACGCATATCTGTTCTCGGAATTGCTGTTCTGAACCCGGCACCGCCTATTGCGTAAGACAGAGTGCTGTCCTCTTTCAGCAGCGAGTCGGTAATCGATGTACGCTGTGGCGCACACAGTCTGCAGCAGCGGCAGTCGAGGCGTCCACATGCGCACCCACCTTGCGACGTTCTGTAGAGGAGGAAGGGCGCCTGCAGCTGGAACTCCAGCTCCTTGGTGAGCGGCTGCAGCAGGTTCTTCGTGTTCAAACGGTTGAGCACCATGAAGCTGTGGTAGGGCGGACCCGACCTGCAATACGAACGCTCGTGATGACGCGACTACACCAATCAGAGCGCCAATAGGGATTGATGTTGGCAGGATTTGATACGTCTGCCGGTCGCCCACGGCCGCCAGGGGGGGGGGGGGGGCACCGGCCAGTCAGCTCCACCGCACGTCCGCGCGAGGCCTTCGTCGAGAATGAGCGAGCTCTCCAGCTGGTCCGCAGAGCCGGACCGGCGACTGCGACCTGAACGGCTCCCAACTGTGTAAGCCCCACACATCTCCCACCACACGGCAGGGCACGGGCAGCGGGACACAGCGCAGCCGGCCGAAAGCGGAGGTCTGCTATGCACACTGAATATGTCTGACAATGACGAGCTGTGACTTGGCCGCAGCCGCGGGCGCCCGAGCCACGCGCCACACCCGCCATGGCTGAGGAGACGTCCGTGACCGGTCAACAGACCAGAGCAGCCTCATGGCGAGGTGTCGGTGCCGAAGCCACGCGCCACACCCGCCATGGCTGAGGAGACGTCCGTGACCGGCCACCAAACTAGAGCAGCCTCACGGCGAGGTGTCAGCGCTGGGCCCGGGTCCGGGTGCGTGCGGCGCGAGGTCCGCTCTCCGTCGGCCGGCCGGCCGGCGGGGAGGGGCGGCAGCCGGAGGACGCCGCCGCCGCCGCCGCCAGTCGGGCGCCGCGCGCTGCGTGAGGAGGCCGCCGGCGCGACGGTGTGTCCCGGCCGACACAGGTGCGCGAGAGGGCCGAGCGACGGCACCGCCCCGGCCACCGCTGCTGACCCAGAGCCCAAGTGTCCCGTGGCGCCGCGTCCACCAGTGACACCGCACCAGCCCCCGGCAACCGCGCCCCACAGACCCGCCGCCTCCTCCGTCGCTCCCAGGTAAGCGGCGGCGTAACGTGCACGCCCACCGCCCGCCAGCACCAGCGGGCATTGTTCGGCAGGGCCCGTGCGGCGGGGGTCGCCAGGGGGCCGCCGGCGATACAGCAAACAGATGGCGCCCGGGGGACCACACGAGCGCGTGGCAACGCGCCAGACGCGCCGTCTGGACGCGCTCCTCAGCAAAACACGCCCGCCCGCGCTAAGCCTTGGGCCCTTAATGTGCCATTCAGGGTGTGGATGAAGATACAACACAGATCACCGGCACGAGAAGCGGAGATTCTTGCGTCACTTACCGAGCAGCGAACCCATGCCAAAAACAATGATTAGAGAAAGGTAGGATGAGTCTTGTGTTAAAACTCATCGCATGAAAATGACACCGTGCTTTCCGTGCAAAACAAGAAAAATGAACAATAACCAGTCCGTCCACTATTCATCGCGAATAACGCAGGTTGCAGAGGACGGGACGATGCTCAAGTGCAAAATGGGGCGCTCCCTTTCGCTGCAACAACCGCAAGTCACCTCAGAGCACGACAGACTGGTCTTCATGTGGCGAGCTCTCAAAGCCTCACCCTGACTAATACAGTCCGCACCACCCAGGCCGCTTCCATCCCTGGCACGGAGACGGTCCATGACAGCCGGGTGCGAAGTTCATCAGGCGCACCGGCCAACAGAACTGACAGCACGCGCTGGCTGTTCAGACCGCGCCCAGCTGGCCAGCTGGTGTCCGCGGACACAGAGCAGACGGCTGACGAGCCGGGGACGGCCGGAGCCCCGCACACTTCCCTCCCTCACATCACCGGTCAGACCAGCGGCGGAGGGCCGACCGCGCGGCCGGGTGGCTGCTCACCGGCGGGTCCGGCCACCTGTGGCGGGACACGGGAGGGGGGGGGGGGGGCGTCAGACCAGCGGCGAAGCAGCCGACCGCACGGCTGGGATAGTCATTCGCCGGCCGGTCGGGCTGCGGGGGCGAGGGTCAGAGCAGCGGCGGAGCGGCGGACCGCGCGGCCGGGGTGGCCGCTCATCGGCGGGTCGGGCCGTCTATGACGGGCCGCGGGAAGGGGGGGGGGTCAGACATCCCGGTCCTGAGGAGCAGCGGCTCCCCCCGGTGCCGCGCGCCGCTGACTCAGCCGCCAGCTACAGTTCAGCGGCGACGGCGGCTGTTTTGACAACGGCCGGCCTCCTTTCAAACGTTTATAGGCGCCCCGGCGCGATCAGAGCCGGCGCCGGACGGCCGAGCGCCACCCTCTCATGGCCAGACGCCGCCCGAGGGTCGACCCCGAGCGAGCCATGCCCGTCAGCCGCGGCCGCGAGTTGCGGCTGACGGGGCGCGGCTGTCATCGTCCGGCGTCAGCACCGTGCGTCAGCTGCTGTTTCGGTCTGGGACTGACCTCTGTGTCAGCCCGGGTGTCGGCCCGGGTGTTGGTCAGCTGTTGGCCCGCCCGCTCTCGTCTTGAGTCAGCCGTGCTCAGGCGGCACCAGCCGTGAGCTCCCGGCGGCAAAAGGACGATGCCTACGTGCGCAACGCCAACGGCACGCTACCAAACCCGCCGATGAGTCCAGCACACGAGCCAACCGCAAGCGAACGCGACCTGGCCAGGCGGCGGCTGCGCGGGGGTTGCTCCAGGCACAGTGAGGGATGATTCGGCCCCGACAAACGACAAATGCAGTCGGGATGAGGCACAGCCGGCTCGATGCTCTCCGGACCGGACGACCCTCCTCCTGCAGAGGCCGAGTGCGGTCGAGCGGCGTGGCCGCCCAGGAAACCAGCACCGACCTCAAACTGCGCCATCTGTTGGCCACAGCTGGCGTTCAAGGATACGCCAACATCGAGGACAAATCGCTTTTGCGTCGTGACCACTTGCGTTGGTGAGAATACTACCAATCAGCACACGTACGCGAAACCGTGACATGCGTTTCGTTCTATCGAAATACCATGCTCCCAATGATCTCCATAACTTTCTGGGAAATGACAACAGCAAACCTGCAGTCGCTTCTCTAATCTTTCGAACTTGTTCTTGCTTTTGAAACAGAAAATGAGGCGGTCAGCAGAAAAGCCTGGGGGGATACCCACACGACTCATCCTGACTTTATACACACGCCGATGAAGACATGTGGCCGACTTCAGCTGCTGTTATAAAGCATGTCACACCACATCACCGCGGACGTTTAGCCCAGTGCATGCCGTTTCCAGTGTCGCCGCCTTCACGGCCAAGCCAGGTTTCGCAGAAGGCAGCTTGTTTGCCGACCACGCGTGTTGTCCACGAATGCATGGACGCATCGGGCCACTGACCGGACCCTCATGATCATCGGCATTGCCAATGGTGGTCCGGCCACGCCGAAGCTCTGGTGCTGTCAAGCGGTGTTGCGTGATGGTGCTGCCCCGTACCAGGGCCCAAATGGAAGGTTCCATGCGCATGCGCGACCACCGGTCAACGGTGTCTCAGCTTCGATAACATGTTCATCAAGTCTGGTGCAATATGTTCAGAGATAGACCAAAGTAAGCCAACGAGGCCTAAACATCACAAGGCCCTTAACGTCAGCGGGCGGTTCCCAGGCTTGCAGGAGGCTTCACATTGGGAAGACAAGGCAGCGGGGCAGTCTGGCTGCTATTCCTGCAGGCTATTCTAGCCGAAACGAAAACAACAAAGTTTCTGTTATGGAAACTGAACAGATTCAGCCCTTCCTGCCAGCCCAACAATGTTTCAACCGGCCCTCTCGTCGTCAACATTCCAGCATTCCGGCACCATGATCAGTACCGAACGAAGCGTCACTTCCCCAAAGCGCATCACACAGAGACACGCGAGGCAGGAGGGACCCGCTCGGCACCAGGAGAGCAGCGCCGGCCGACACTGTGCCCTGGAGGTGGGCGGCCGGACGCGGTCGGCGCGCGCCCACCCTGGCCACCCGGGCGGCCCGCGCCACGCACAGCGGGCCGGCACCGCTGTCGGGCCGCCCTGGATGACGCGCGACATGGCTCGCCCGCGACCGGACGCCAGTCGCACATATAAGGCAGACGACCGGCGCCTGCCGCGCGCTGCTCCCTTTTCGGGAGATGGGAGCTGAAGCAGGGTCAGAGCCCGCTCGGCACTGACGGCTGGGGGGGGGGGGGGGGGGCCTCCCAGGACGCAGCTCCGGCAGCGCCCCGTCTCGCCCCCCAAGCAGCTTGTCCCGGGGTTCACCTGGTCGGCACGCTCTTTGCTAGGAAAAGCTGGCATAAACAGTCCGGGTGGCTCTCATAGAAGAGGAACGGTACCCACAGGGCGTCGAGGAAGGTGTAATTCGGCGAAGTCGTCACATGGTGCTCGTAAGGACGTTTACGAGAGATGTGCTCGGCGAAGACGGCATAACGATCCCAGTCCTTATATCCCTGAGTGGCTGGCACTGGGAAGGCAGACCCTTCTTAAGGGAAAGGACGCTAACTGGGCGAAATTACCAAACTACAATATCTGGCACAGCACGCACCCCGTTGCGCTGCACTGGACCGATATGAGCGTCAGTCCTCTTACCTTTTGTAGACGAAGAGCGCTCCCTGCATGTCTGTTTTTTGCTGCAACAGGAAACTCTGTCAGACGGCTTGACTGGACACAGACCACGACATCACGGTTTTCCCTCACGTTTAATATACTGGGGCTCTGCGGGCAACGCCACTCTGCAAATACCGCACCCCATGACAGTACAACAATGACTGTACCAACTTTTAAAACGGTTTCCACGCTGACCTGTTGAGACCAAGCGCCGCAAACACGCGCCGTTAAAACAGGCTATCACGACGTCAGGTGCTGGGAAAAACAAATAGCGAGGCGATGCCACGACTCTGCACGTACGCACATACACAGAGGTTGTTCGATAGGACAGCTACTTGTAGCCTCGGCATATGCAGACTTCCGACACAGGTGAGCAACACAACTCCCGAAATTAAGATGCTGTAAGGCATCCACTGGTCGCCATCTTGAGTACACAAGGCAAACATGAAGAAACCAACACCATATAGCTCAAACACGAGTTCCGTCCCTAGCCCGACGGAGCGCCACCTCGCCTCCCCAGAGTAGCACCACAGGTCGCATCCACGCGCGGGGGCGCCACCTACCCACTCGCTGGCCGGCGAGTTGTACTCGTAGACGGCCACCTGGGTGGCGCTGTCCACAATGTCGGCCACGTACGGGTCGTGGCGGCGCACGGCCGTCAGGTTCATCTGCTGCGAGCCCACGCGGTCGGCCATGGCGTCTGCGGCACACGGGGCGCGCGACGCTCAGGGGCGGCGGGGCGGAGACACTGTGACGTCATGCCGCCGTCCATAGGCGCGCCGCGACAGCGTGCGATAAGCCTCAATGGCGCGGACACGGCAGACACGATCCATGGAGGCACAGCACCGGCAGGACGCTTTCGAGCATGCACACTGTGCAGAGACAGTGCACCATACCCAACTCCTTGCGCCACAGAGACGGCAGTGGTCTGTGAAAGCCAGGAGCAGCAGGCACTAAACAGCGATCGATGAAAGCGGCGAGACGGCGCGCTCCCCGTTCAGCGATATAGAAACAGTAGTCACCTGCCAGCAATGTCGATGCAGACAGCAGCCATATGTCAGTAGTGGCGACGAGGTCACAAATGCTCCAGGGCCAACCCTATGCTATGGTTAATTAGCTTTAACAGGAATTTGGTGGTTGCCGAAAGAAAATCACCAATTTTTTGTGATTTTGTGACAACTAAAAAAGTTCTATATTGGGTAACAAGTTCCCAGTGTCCCATGACCTTACAAAAGTGTTCTATTAACCCAGAAAGCTACTATCATGCCTAGAAAGGGAGGGGGAGTCCAGGATGGTGATCGGGGGTCCCTGTCACATGAGCAGCTCCAGCAGCTCAATGGCAGACCCAAACTGAAGAGTCATGTACCGTTCTGATCAGACATCTGTTTGTCTCTGCAGGGAGCTCAAATTGGTGCTGGAATGGGTCAACTTTTGGAGACTCAACTGAAATCCATTCCTTCCACAATTGGTGTAATCCAGAGTTGTGTCAATCTTCTCGGCAGGCATTATGGATCAATTGAATGAACAAGAAATATGGATACCAAATCAATACTCTTCCTACCAACTGTAGCAGGCATGTGTAACAGAAGGAATACTTTATATTCTTCCAGCCTTGTAATCCAAATGCACGTCTGTTGAGCACTTTTCGTCGCCCAGGACAGTTCATATGTGTACCTGATGCTGGAACTTTGTGAAAAATCAAGCCAAATCTACTTGACACAGATTGAGTTATCAAAACTGGGTTTAGTTAACACGCGCTCGGGTGGGGGCCAAATCGACCCCTTCGAAGGTTTTCAAGAACGGTTTCCGAACAGCGCGGCGTAGCCGCGCCAAATTTTGCGTAGCCGTAGACAATTGAATAGCAGATCGTTTGGCATCAAAAATTTAAATGCAACTTGTAAGGTCGCTGAACTATGACAGGTCAAAGTCAGGCCATGGTTTCAGTAAAGGCAATTTCTAGGGAACCGTTCAACCAGTTGCAACAACGGAGTGTTAGACGAAACCATACATTCTGAGATGCTTTCTTAGGCAAGACAACGGTTGAATGAGCAAATCACATTGACCAAAGGTCAGGTATGCAGGTCAGACCACGGTCAAAACCAACCTGTTTTATTACTCTCGGGCTCGCTGTATGGGGTTTGGAAGAGGAATTATAGATCTCTCGGGATGATTTATTGCTGTAATGATGAACATCGACAAATAATCCTGATATGATGATGAAGTATGGATCTCTCGGGAGATTACGAGGTTTACTTTCGGGCTTGCTGCACTTTAGGTCAATGACCTATTCTTACCCGACTGGTGCTCATTTCGAATGTATTGACGGCAGGAACCGCATTACACATCTTCCATGGACTTCTTAGAGGTAAGAATAGGTCATTGAACTAAAATGACCCAGGTCAACATTTTCCTTTTAATAGCAAAACTGCTAGCACCACCTATCATAATTTTTGTATCTTATTTAAATGCAAAACTTAGAGCAGCTTGTATGATTTTGGTCACCATGATCTTCAAAACGTTAAACAAGGTCACTGACCTTGATGAGCACGTGACTTTTTGCTTAGAAATGATTATTTAGGTTCTGGGGGCACTTTGGAGACCAACCTGGAATTTAACCTTGTTTGACCTCATTTGACCCGAAGGTCATGACCTAGAAATCTGAAACCTTGACGTAAGTGAGTTTACGTACAGGTCAACACACCCTGTAAATTTGGTGTCTCTAGCTCTATTAGTTCCAGAGATCTCAGGGGGGCCGTCAAATTGACCCCCACCTGAGCGAAGGGTTGCCAGCCGGCCATCCGGGCGCGCGTTAAAAAGACACTTAAAATAATCCACACGCTTCGTGGCTCAGAAACAAAACCATTTGATCACAGCCAAACACATTTCTGACCAGTTAACAGGAGCTGAACATAGACTCAGACTGCACTGGACCCATAGACTCTGACTCAGGTCCAGGGTGCTGATCTCCTGCAATGTATGGAAGGAGACTCCTGAACCTCCTGCAATCCTCAAATTTATATTCACACATTTGATTTTGTTTCAAGTACTCATCTGTGATGAGCTATCACAGTGAACACAATTCCAAGTCTAACTATGTTCAAAGGCATGAAACCAACTTCAGCTCAATGAGAACTAATTGATTGCGGACTGTCATCCACCTTTTAGTGGCCGCTCCTCAAACCCAGCTGCTACCACAGACTTCCCACTCTGACCCAGTTACCATCACAGACTTCTCTCTCTGAAGCCATCACATCACAGCTGCCATCCCAGACTTCCCTCTCCAAACCAGCTGGCACCACAGACTGCCCTCTCTGACCTAGCTACCATCACAGAGTTCCCTCTCAGACTCAGCTGCCATCACCGACTTCCCTCTCCAAACCAATCATTTCAGACTTCCATGCTTTGGTAGCAGCAGTGGCTTCCTAATCCTGATGCCACTCTCACAATACTGAGCCAGTTTATGGGAACAATAGCTTGCAGCATAGTGCCAGGTGTGTACTTCACGCATGACACAAAATCACAGACTGGCCCAACAAAAAGGACATTGGAACTTTTGTCGACCTCAGGCTCAAGTTCCGCACAAAGATGGGGGCAGGTGGTTTTTAAGGCCGGCCAGATGCGGGCAGTTGTGAGCCAACATCAACCTTTGCAAGCTACTACTGTTATTCAGGAACACAGTACGGCCATTTTGCAGAACTGCTGTCCACTCAGCAATCTAGATAAGCTGTTGGAGCAAGCCCAATGACAAGCTATGTGTATTGCTGAAGAAGTGAGGTACTAGGCATACCCTTGAAGACCTCCTCTATTTTAACTGCCTTTGCTGTAGCAAGGATGTTCTGCCAGGAAAATGTGGCATTGCAGTATACAAGTGCTTCATGGATGCACATCTTTTTTGGCATGAGTGTGTGACATAGTGTCATTCAAAGGTGACAAAAGGGCACCAACAGAAAACTAAAAAAACCTTGAGCAAGCAGCTTAGTGCACAAAAACACGTGCCACACCACATCCATCTGACACAAATCATACAACAAAATGAAATTTAAAAAAGAGCCAAAAACATCTAAATCCATGGATATCTGGTGTCAGAGCTCACACTAAATAGTGTCTGTTGTGTGACCCCTGACTACAGATATATAATTGTGCAATGCCAGGTTAACAACAGAATTCACCACCATTTGGTAGCTGCAGGTACACAAATTTACTAGAAATTACTCATAAATGCATTGTTTATCCAATGACCTTGCTTCTGTGTGAGGTTCATAGATGGAATCTATGTACTCTGTTCACAAGAATAAGTATGAAGCCTGCATGTTCTGCAAGAAAAAACAAGTTTTCTCTTTGCACAATTATCATTCAACAAAGCCTTGGCAATAAAACTGGCCAACTGGCAGGCTGGTACTACCTAACTGCACTTCATCATGTTAAAATAGCATTGCAAGGATTTGCACACCTAAATTCAGGACACAAATGCTTAGGAAGAAGCAGAGAGGTGAGTTACCAGGCATTCATGACTAGTTTGAATTTAAAAAACTACATAAAAATTCAACTATTGTTTCTGAGGTCACCTGAATTTGAGAACCATTTTAATGATTATATAAACTTTGATGCACTTTTCTCAATTATGCTTGGATGAGATACTGAATTTTGCAGATTGTTGGAGACTTCCCCAACTCCCTCCCTGCAGCAGAGCTCACACTGGTCCCTGCTGAGAATGGCATCTGAGTGAATCTGCAAAAACATATCTCCAATGCCCTAGAAGACCACATTTTGTCAGTGTGCTGAACATTCCACTTACATCCTCCAAACTCAAGCTAAGCCAAATTGCACTGAATTTACACAATTTGTTCAAGAAATGTTCTTGGAATGAGAATGGCTACATAATATGATATTTGAGCAATAAAACACTCACAAATGGCTCAAATTACCTTTGTAGCATCATATTTCTAAGAAAAATTGTCTGTGTTCAAATTGATGAAAACTGTGTTATACTTCACTGAGCACTCATCTACAGTGAACAGGCAGTGAAATTGTCACCATAATGTTGCTGCTTTTCTGGACATTTCAAGTACAAATTTTATTTTAGCTGTCTAGCCTCTGGCTACTGATGAGACAACTGCAGTCATCAGGCCTCTACAATTGGTTATCCGATGTGTGCTGTGCAGCCTTCAAAATGAAAGGCATTCAATAAGACCAAATCCTGGACCATATCTTGTCTCATCTTTACGCTACTGACAGCTTGAAACATGAATGGGTGTCACACTGTTGAACTATGACGCATGCCGCAGGGCACACATAATCTGCACAATTTGATTTGAAGTCAGCAATCGGAAAACAGCGAATGGCAGCGAGAAAGAAATGGCTTACCTCTTTACAACACTGAAAGAGCTCTGGCAATCGGCCTTGAAAGGCCAACCAGTGATTTAAACCGTTTTTCCTCCTTTAAGATACCAGGCACACGAAGTTTGCACCTATCCCAAAACCCGAACTGGCACCCAGCGCCCCGCTCGAACACTCACCGGGGGCCCCAATTTCGCGTCACCTCAAAACCTCACGCACACCGGCGCTGAGACGCAGTGCGCCAGTATCGTCAAAATACTGGTGTGTTCTACTCAAGTTCTACTTTGTCTTAAAACGACTGTCGACAACCACATTGGTCTATATGTTGTACGGACAACGTTTTCGGTGACTGCTTGTTCCGTGAGCCACAGTCTAATGTGATTATATTTAATGGTTAATAGCATGAGATACTATCAGTCAAGATACAGTAACATCAAAAATAGCTAGTGTATTAAAATTGTAATGCCTGATATGTCACGTGACTTAGCAGCATATCTGCAAGGTGCTTTAGTTTGTAGCAGAAGCACCATATATGAAATGTCGTCAGTGCCACGGCTGCCTGTCCCAGCTGTTATATTCATGATTAGAGTTACTGGTACATGGTCAACAAAGTACGTTTTGTGGGTGGCGTTTCTGACTATTGATGTTGACTGGACCACTTTTGTATGTTGCAATTGCGTTTTATGTGACAATCTTCTGTTTTACATTTAAGCGTTTTTCGGTTCTGGAAACATAACCGCAATATCATTGATTGCAGGATAATTTTGTTGCCAAAATTAGAAATATGGTTCCTGCTGTTCCTACCCAGGTTTTGCTTTAATCTTATGGAGCAAGACACATACAAATTACTGTGATGAAGTGCTTCCCCTGTCAGTGAGCCAAGGGAAGATCAAACAATAAGATGCTGGATGAGATGAATCCAACAGGTGGGTGACATTCTGGAAAACTGGTGTGTTTCACTGTTTCTTTCACATTTTGCTGTCTTCATGTGTGTGTTTAAGTGATTAAGTCATCATGCTCCCAATTTATGCACATAATCTATTCATGCAATATGATGCCAGGTATATTTTGACTGACTTTAGCCAAGGTCTTACGCAGAAAGGTTTTTGCCACAGCCCAAAAGGGTTCATATGCATATTAGTTATGCACATGGGACATTTTGTGATGTATTTCTTATCACAAAATAGTTGCCAGTCCATGGCATGTTAACAATAGGTGGGCAGACTCATTTTTTACAAGTTAAACTGGTTTACTATACAAAAGTTTACTATTCAAAGTGAAGAGAATAGTGCCTGCATTATAAATGTGTTTCCAGTTTTATACATTTGAATTAATCATATACATTTTATAAAAGAAAGCCACTTGAAGTTTCAGCTACCATTTGTTACCATCTGAAACAGTAAGCAATATTAACACCCACTGGAAAAGGTGCTCTATAAATATAAATGATGTACTGTGTACTATATTTAGTACTGTTCCTATAGGTGGATATGTGATATATAAATGCACAGTGGCTTAGTTTTTGTGAACAGGGTTACAGTTACTGTGCTGAGCATACACACAGAGTCCTGTGGTAAGTATTCTTGTGGTAGATATGATGCACAATCTGTTGAAATGAGATACTCTGCATAGCTGAAACATAAGCATACTGACAAGTTATAAAAATGGTTGCATCTTGATAACATGGTTCACAGTTTATGGATCTATCTCTGGAGGCATTTGGAGCATTGGAGTCCAAGTGACAGGTTATAATATTAACCAGTTTATTGCATATACAATATATTTTTGAAGTTCTAGCATGGTATAGCTCAAGCCATGCACTTGGCATAAGAAACAAAACATTTGCCTCATGATGGCAATATAAATGCTGTAAGTGGTGCATTGTTCCTATGCAATACCATAAACAGGGTGCTAGTAAACAGGATACTAATTGCTGACAATGATGGGAAATGTGCCCACATCCCTGATAAGCAGTCAAGTTACATCCATCCTTGGCACAACTTGTTGGTCCCAATTTGGGTGATAATCTGTGAGCTACCATGAAATTCTGTGTAAGGCTTCAGCATTATGCAAAACATACATCAGCTTCATTTCATATGTGTTGTTGTAAAAATGCTGTTAGAATATGGAAATAATATTCAATTACAGAGTATAATCACACATAGTATATGCTATGGTTGCTTTGTCATTTCACCACTGAAGTGGAATTTTGGACACCTTTTTAGGCCACTTGCTAGGTACATTAAGTGCATGCTGACTTGGCACCACCAGTGCTGTCAATGCAGGAATCAACCTTGTTTTCAAGTGTTGGCTCCCGGCCGTTCGGATCACCTGCAAACCGCGTGACCGTCCCCGGCCACGGGCCGTTTTGGGCCGTACAGCGCTGCCACCTGGCGGGCGTGACGCAAACTATGGCCGCCCGGCGCGCTGGCGACATCTGCTATCAAGCGCGCGAGTCTCCTCGACATATTTGATGCGCTTCCAAGCGGGCCATGCTGTTCGGTGTGCCTGCGGGCAGAGCGGCCGGAAATAGCGCGCGCCGCCGGCGGGACAGCCGGCCGGCGGCGGTCACCGCTGCCCGGCCAGGGTCAGGTTGCGGCGCGGCCGTGGTCAGCGCGTGTGTCGGCCGCCGGCTGCAGCCGGTATTTTCAGAGTCGGGGCCCGTTTAATCGTGCCGTGCCAGCGGTGGATGCCACCGCGCGACGGCCGTATTATGTTCTGGAGCGGGGCCAGTGGGCGGCTGGCCCGGGCCGGAGGGGCGCCCTCGGCCGCCGCCCCGCTGGCCGCCGACCTCGGCCGGCCCGCGCTCTGGTCAAGTGCCGGGCGGTGCTGGCGGCGGCACCCAGCCAGCGTGGCATCCAAACGCTGCCGTACTGCTCGGTTTGGACAGGAAACATGGCATGGAGTGCCGTCTTCGTCAGCTCGCGCCCGCGGCGGTAGATGAGCTTGATCATGATGTGCCGGCCCAAATATTGTTTCCGAACCGGTGTTGTGATTTCAGCACTGCGCTTGATTCACATGACGCGAGAATGAACAACAGCCGGAGGAGTTATGTGGCGGGCTGCCTGTTGTCGCTGCGGCGCTCTGGCCGGCTCGCGGACCCGGTGGTGTGTTTCCCAGCGCGGTAAACAGGCGGACGCTGGGCGCGGCTGGCGTGGCGCGATACGCGGCGGCTCGTACGTCACCGCGCCGTCCTCCGGCCCAGCGGTCGTCGCTTGACCGACCAGCCTCAAATAAACTGTCGCGCGCCGGCCGTCAGCGGCCGGCCCCACGAGACGGGGCGGCGCTGCAGCCGTGCACAGCCGCGCCGCGCCGGTTTGCGCCGCGAGAGGGGCTACCGGCGGCGAGCGGGACCGGCGGCGCGCCAGGCCGGTCCGCCCGGAGCAGCGCCAGACCGCCCACCCCCTCCCCGCTGCCGACCTCCCAGCCCCGCGCGGAGCAGCTCGTTCGTGCCGGGTCCCCTGTCCCGCGATCAGCCGCCGCCTTGACCGATGTTATTGTGTCGTGGTTCGGTTTATGGCTGTCATGCACAGCTGTATGATGTTGTCCAATGGCGACTAAGACAGTGCGCACGCTGTACTGCATTGTCAAGCGGCTGCATCGGCCCTGCTCGCTGCTCGGTACGTCCACGGCTCTTGCGGTGCCGTGCCGGCGCTGCGCGGCAGCGGATGACACCGACACCGTTGGAGACGGCGCCCATCCCCAAACGGCTGCAATCAAAGCGGTGAACGTGGGTGAGAAAGGTCAGCGGCGTCGCCGGCCGATCCCCTGCGTGCCCGGCCGCCTGCTCAGAGAGGCGGCGGGCCGTCCCTGCGCCCGATCGGCAGCCGTCCCTGCGCCCGATCGGCGGCCGTCCCTGCGCCCGATCAGCAGCCGTCCCTGCGCCCGATCGGGGGCCGTCCCTGCGCCCGATCGGCGGCCGTCCCTGCGCCCGATCAGCAGCCGTCCCTGCGCCCGATCAGCAGCCCTCCCTGCGCCCGATCGGCAGCCGTCCCTGCGCCCGATCGGCGGCCGTCCCTGCGCCCGATCAGCAGCCGTCCCTGCGCCCGATCGGCGGCCGTCCCTGCGCCCGATCGGCGGCCGTCCATGTGCCCGATCGGCAGCCGTCCCTGCGCCCGATCAGCGGCCGTCCCTGTGCTTGATCAACGGCCGTCCCTGCGCCCGATCAGTGACCGTCCCTGCCCTCGATCTGCGCCCGATCCCGACCGCACTCAGTCGCAGCCCGGGTGCCACCGCATGGCCGGCGCGTGCTGCCCGGCGGCCGCGCGGCCCGGCGATGATGATGGACGTTTTATGATGGCCTCTGGCGGGTTGCGATGAGCCGGCGGCCGTGCGGCTAGCGTGCGCCGTCGCCGTCCCCGTCGCCGTCACGGCTCCAAGCGACCGATCAATGCGTCATTGGAGCTGTAGGCCGATATTGGGTGGGAAGCGCTTGCACTCGGCCATAACCAGGCACGCTGGCACGACTCCCTAAAAGGGATGGTTGATTATTCAGAGCGATCGAACGTCAGCCGGCCGCCGGCCGTCTCTGCGAGGTCTGCGTGCTTCGCGGACCTTGCGCGAAGAGGCTGACATCGCGAGGATCAGACTCGCCGACGTTCAGGATGCCACTGTCCTCGGGACAGGCTCAGTGGTATTGTGGCTGCTGCTGCTGCTGGCGGCGCCCGTCTTGGGCGGACGTCCTGTGACCTGAACCATCAGGTCCTCTGACCAGACCATTAGGCCAGCAGAGCGTCATCTGACCGGACCGTCAGGACCGCAGAGCGTGTCCTGACCAGACCATCAGGTCCGTAGAGCGTGTTCCGACCACACCATAAGGTCCGCAGAGCGTGTTCCAACCAGACCGTCAGGTCGGCAGAGCGTCCTCTCGCCAGACCATCAGGTCCGCAGAGCGTGTCCTAACCAGACCCGTCGGGCTGGCAGACGGTTCTGCGGGCAGACCCGTCGGAGGGACAGCCGTTGCCGGTCGGGCAGCCTCCGGCGGCGGATGCCGGGCGTATCCGGCCGTCGCGGCGGCGCCTCCCCGCTCCGTCGACACCGACACGCTGGCGCCGCCGAGTGGCCCCCTCCCCCTCCCCCACCCCGGCCGCCGACGGCCGGCGCGCCCGCCCGGGCCGGCCGCCGGCCGGGCTAACTCTAAAAAAGGCGCGGCGGCCGCCGCCG